AAAAATTATTTTGTTTCATATTTACATAATTTTTTACAAAACGAAATCACAATCTTAAATAAATTAAACTCAATGTGCAAAGGCCTGTTTTGGTAAACATGAATAGTTTAAACTAAAACAATCCAGAGAATTTCCTACCGATCTGTAACACGTGTTTGTAACAAATTGTATACAATATTTGTAGAAAAAGTGTGTATTAAGGCTTTACAATCTAAGAATCTATCTATAATGATTGTTACAACCAGATTGAATGATAGAGAAGAAATTACCATTTGGGGATTTTGAGATAAGGTTTGTTATCAAGTTTGACTTCTTATCGAGATTTGCAATAAGACGTTATTAAGAATATAGACAATTAATAGTCAATGATAGAATCAAGGGTATTTGAAAATTACATTTGCTATCAAGGTATACGTGTAATCGGGGCTCCACAAATAATAACTGGTTTATTCATTTCCCTTCTAACATTTAAAATCCTTAAATGCCTTAAAACTATTCCACTCCACATACTGTTGTACGCATTAAATTTAGCTAGTGATCCTCCAGTGGTCGAAAACTCGACCAAAATTGCGTAATTTACAGACTTATCTATTTTCACCCCACGCTGTAAATTAAATATGCGATTGGAATTTCTTACATTTGTGTTAATTTTCTGTTTATATTTCGTTAATACGTCACCAGCATGGCGACCCATAAGGCCCATGTTATCTTATATATTTAAAAAAATTGGTTTTTCTTTTCCGAATTCGTTTGGCTCTTCTACCCGACCGATTTTCATGATTGAGGTCTCGAATTGAAGGTGTGCACGTACAGATTTGCCATTAAACATCAGCATATATTTATCTATAATCCCACTCGACTTATACGTAAACGAAATTTGCTCCCCATGTATTTCTTATGGGAGTAAAATTTGGTTTTTCTTTGCCGAGTTCGTTTGGCTTTTCTACCCGACCGATTTTCATGATTGGGGTCTCGAATTGAAGGTGTGCACGTACAGATTTGCCATCAAGTATCTACAAGTAATCTTCTGTATGAGGTACTCGACTTAAATATAATTTGTATAATTTTCGAATTATTACATCAATTTAAGATGTATTTCACCAGTTATATTATATAATCCTACATATTTTGGCCTAAGAACTTTCAGTGAAATATCGGCTTTTGTTTAAGCGATTAAGATACTGTATTACTCAATTAAAAATCATGAATCATGATTATTTCTCGGATATTAAATTTATTTTAACGATGCGGAGCAGCATGGGTCCTCTAGTTGTTTTTTAAATTCATTTTTGTGCTTAATTTTGAAATCTGACTATCTACAGGAAAATATATTTCTAACTGCGTAGATTTTCCCAGCGATGCACACAAGCTGAGAAAAAAGGAACTTAACATGTTTGCCTATTATTATATAGTTTTTTTAAACTTCGTATATAGATTTTTAGATAAAGATTGTATATCGGCGAGATGGAAGTTATGCGGAGCGCTAGTGTTGTGATCGGTGAGTTTAGCAGCGGAGAAAGCATGAACCGGTTTTCTTGTGTAACTGCAGCATTGTTGGCTCACCACGCACCTGCTATCTGACGGAGACCGGTGGAATTACATAAACAATGTCAATCGACGAGTGATGAGTTGATAGCGGGATGTAAACAATCGCGGTTCCGAATTTGTCACCGTTGCAACTGGAACAGTTTTTTTTAACAGGTACTAACAATGCAACAACATAACCAAGTTACGGTTTATTTTATTACAACCAGTTATTTTGATAAAACTGTTAAATTTAAATTATGTCAACTTTTGGAACCGTTGCAACCGGAACTGTTGTTACCGGTTCAACAATGTATAATAAACGATGATAGCAAACGTTGTAACCTGATTTACTGTTACTGTATTTTAAAAACTATAAACGATTTAAATTTCTGATAACTTGGTACCGTTTTGGAACGATTGTTTCTGGTAAAATAATGTGTAATAAACTATGATAACTTAACAACGAGTTTGTCTCACTACAATAGTTTTTACTGTTACAGGTAAAACTGTACAATGTAAATAATGTCAATTTCAGATTATTTGGCACCGTTGCAACTGGAACTATTGTAACCGGGTCAACAATGTATTAAAATAAACGATGGTACAATTCCTTGAAATACACAATGTTAACTTAAAATGAGTTTATTCAGTTGTACTGTTGCTGATAAAACTGTGGTGTAAATAATGTCAATATCAGATAATTTTGTCACAGTTACAACGGGAACGATTGTTACTGGTACAAAAAACATAAAAAATGTTAACTTATAATTAGTTGTAACTGATAAAACTGATGTGTGTCTAAATATGCCAATTTCATATTTTTGGAACAGTTGCAACCGAAACAATTGTTACCGGTACATGTATTAAAATAAACTATGACAAGTTAACAATGAGTTTATATCGATGCAATTGTTTGGACTGTTACCAAAACTCTGCAACGTAAACAATATAGATTTCAGATATTTTGTCACCGTTGCAACCGGAACGAGTGTTGCTAGTACAATGGTGCTTTGACATAAACAATGTTATCATACAGTGAGTTTATATATTCATATTGTTACTGATAATACTGTCTTGTAAATGTTGTTAATTTTAGATTATTTGGTACCGGCAACCGGAGTTTTAACTTTCAATGAGTATATAATATAGTATATATACCTGTCGTTACTACTGGTAAAATAATGCTGTTTACATAGTCAGTTTGCAATTGTATTTACCGTTACAAGAATTTGATTTATCAATTATCAATTATTTAAGATGGGGACGCCACTATGTGCGTATTTTAAATAAATAAATAAAATGCCTTGATTTACGAACGTTTTTCAGTACAAAAACTGTTTTACAAAGTAACTCATGTCAATATAACTTACTTAAAAAATATACAACAATTATGACTATAATTGGCTTAAGTACTCGAAAAACCATATGTTATTTTAAGAGGGAATCCATATGACTTGATTATGAAAATATTGAATTACAACTCAGATCTGACAAATTACAATTCACTTAGTGTGCAGAGTTTCGCTTACTCTTCTGCAGCGGGGATATTTTTTGAAAACCTGATCCATTTTTCTATTAATTTTCCATTGCGTTTCAAGAGTACTTAGCTTAGTTCGATGGATTTTTTTTTCGCTTGGTTCTTCTTCAGTGTGTTATGGCATGCAGTTTCATAGCGCAACACTATATAGACTACATTCACTGTGTGCACTTAGAGTGCAATTTGTCTTTACTCTGTTGGTTTTCCTCATGATGCAACTAACCGTTTAATGGTTATTGCTAGTGTAATGGAGGTATTTAGCTCAGCATAGCAATGGCTAATTGCATATGCAGATATGCTTGCAATGTTCTACTATGTAGTAGGCCTTCTTTGTTTTTGGTTAATTTGCATTTGCTTTGTGTACATACAGTTTCATATTAAAGGCTAGGTTAGGTTAGGTTAGGCAGGTTAAAGGTTTTGACAGAAACGTAAAAAAAATTACGTTGTCAATTTATTTTCAAAATCTGAACGTGTATCAATTCAATATTTTCACTGATATTTTCCATAGAATAATTTAATTTCCACCATATGTTTTTCTTTTTATTTATATTTCAATCATCTCCTTTTTTAAACCATGTTTAATAATTGTCCAAGCAGACCAATAGGTAATTGATTCAATACAATGTAATATAGAAAATGTTTAAATAACCTAATTATGTAAATATATTATAACCTATAACCTGTTGTAACAAAAATGCTTCAAATTTAATATAATTTTACTTAAATAACTTTTCAAAATTCAATATTAGCTTTTAAGCAAATGTAAATTTTATAATATATGTTTGAACATTGACCTAAAAGTTTACAGTGATATAGTCAGCATTGACATGTGATTGAGTTCAACAATGCACCAAACCTTCCTCAATTCCAACAGAGCTGAATTAGTGTGAAGATATGAATGTTTAACTGGTATATTTTAATATCAAAATTTATCCCAAAAAAATATATTTGAATAAAATTAGTGAAACTTAATGAAAGAAGATTCGTCCTTGTTTTACAAACATTAATTACAAATCTCAAGAATTATTTCATTACCTGTGAAGAAGACTTCTAAATTAGTGAGATCACTCCTGTAGAACCTTTTTCTTGGAAGCCATTAGAACATTTTAGGCCTTAACTTTTGGAAATTTGTACCAAATTTTGAAATCAAGAAACTATTAGAAGCTTATTCCATAACGTTAATTCAACCAATCAGAAAAAGAATTTTAAAATAATTTATATTTAAAAACCAAATTTAATTGTAAAATCACAAGATTAAATTCTAACGCCGCCCGATCACCCCAACCTGAGATAAAGATCCATGTAATAAACCTCCTGAGCCTAAATTAAAATTTTTGTACTAGCCTAAAGCTTTTATTTATTAAATTCAACTCCCTATATTGTAAACTCTTATTGTGAATCCCTTTCTTTTCTTTACTATCAGTTTTTGCACGGTTATTTGATAAAATGAAGTTTCTGTTTTGTAAATTTGGAGTTTCCATTGTAGGCCTAGGTTAAGAATGATTGCAAACGTCTGGATACATTTTATTATATCCATATAAAAAAGCCAAAGGTGAAACTAGCAAATTCACGCTCTGAAGGTGATTAATATATTTCTTACAACAAATCAATATCATTTCTAGAACTATTTTACTGATGTATATATTGTTAGTAAAATGTTTCATACTTATGCATGCTAAGTAAGTATTTATCAATTATTATTATCAATTATTTAAGATGGGGACGCCATTATGTGCGTTTTTTATCCCAAATATGAGTGAAGGATGAGTGGCGCGATCTTGTAGTCTTGTTAGTGCCTAAGGCCGACATTTTCTATGAATATGTATGATAATAAGTATGACTAGGTATGATCTATGAAATATAATGTTTAGTCTTACCTTAGCTAAAGAACTTATCAAGGGGATTTGATTTAATAATTTTGTTTTTCGTTTTTCAGCCGACTTCATCCACGTTTGCAAGAGGAATGATCCTCAAGTTGAGACATGTATACGAAATAGCATAGAAGAACTCAGGCCGTATCTTAGAAGAGGTATGTCATCTTTTGTATAAATACCATACTTTAGAAATAAAATATATTACACTATAATGTTGATATAGGACATTCAAGTTAAATTTTCAAATGAGTAGAAAAATGCCGTTACAGTGCAAGTATATTTTGTGCCACGACGAAGGAACCTGAAGGATGTCTTTATAGGAAACCTATCTGCTGATCATAAGTACTAAAAATGACTGAAGATGTTTGTAGTTTCTAAAAGGGGAAACAAGTTATAAGAAAAGTCTTTGTCTTTTTCTCGCTCAAACCTCTCTTCAGTGTAGCTCCTGAATAGTTTTACGATGTTTAATGATTCGGTTGAATTGTTACATAAAAGACCAGCTTTTGAGGATTGGCGTTGAACATTTGGAATTTTCCGTTAGTCGCTCTCACTTCCAAAAGTTGAAACTAAAATATTCTATCGAACCTATTTGATTCTAATAAATCTTTCCAAGACTCCCTTAATAGTAGTTTTGTTTTAGTGCAATGTGTTGGAAATTGTATAAATATCTGTTACCATTTCTGTCGATAAATTTTGTGGTTTACTCTTTTTTTTACCAAATATCAAAGAGCGCATTGTCAAACCATTATAAACCGTAGTCAGTTGTGGCTGTTTTTTTTTTTTTTTTTTTTTTTGTTGGTGGCAAAAACTCGTAAGAGGTTAAAATTAAAATAAAAACAATATCTACGAAGAGACAAAGAACTGGTTGGGTATAACATCTTACCAAAGGATTCGTTTTAAAATGCTTTCTCAGCTAGATCTTTTGTAGATTATAAATAAAACTTAGACAGAGCAGTAATTTAATGACTTTATAGTTTTAATGCATGCATTTCAATTAGTTTGATGTTTACTTCAGTGATTTTTGAAATAGCTATCATTATAATTATAAATTTAAATGGGGACGCCACCTAGGTGCGTATTTTGACCTAGAGTGAAGGATAAGTATACTACTGACTAAGTAGCTACTGACTTTTCTCAGGATCCTTCTTACAACATTTTGATTATCAGGCAAGCACTATAACCACTCAACCACCCAGCCATACAAACAGTTAAGACTGCGTTGACAGAACGTTATAAAATAAATGTATTAAGTTGATAACAAGAACTTTTAAGAGGCTGAGAGAATATAAAACGCAAGAAAACTGGACAACAATAAAGACAAAAGTAGCATAGGGATATAGATGATACATTTTACTAAAAGAAGTATTTATTCAACGATACTTTACTAAACGGACTGTAGTATAGTTATATTGCAAATAAAGTCGAATTTATTGCATTTTCTGTAATGTTGGAATAACCTAACCTGTAATACAGGGTCATTGATTATTTTACACATTTTAAGATAAAATAAATAAATAACCAAGCAACATAGAAACATGGGAATTATTTAATTAAATAGCAAATTTAAAACAGTTTTATACAGTAACTGCAAAAATAAATTTAAAAAATTTCAGCAATTATGAAATGTACCGGTAGTTTTGAAGATACTATAAAAGTCATCTAAACTTTTATTGTAAGTTATGTTCTTCTGAGGTGAGGACCCTTTAGACTATATGTTGGACACTTCCCAGTCGTTTGAACTGTCTGTAACACCATTTTATAGAACTGTTACACGGAGAACTACTGCCATACTCTAAACGAAGCCTTCTTCGAACAGTTTTTACAGATTTACTTTCATTGAAACCAAAGACTTTGCTTTTTATTGCACACTAGTTATTTTGTTACTTAGCTAAGTCAGTTTAAGGTTTGATTCACCAAATGTCATACACAGCTGGTGTAGAAAGGTCCATTGTTGGTTTTGCCATGCTATCAATGCTGAGTATGCCATAACACAAGTCATTGAGAAAAAAACATAACTTACACTCACTGTTTGATTTTTGCACACTTTTTATAACAACTTTTTAAATTAATTACATTTATATCATCATTGTTTTGCAGTAACTGGATAAAACAGTTTTAAATTTGCTATTCAATGAAACAATTCCCATGTTTCTGTTGCTTGGTTATTTTTTATATAATCTTAAAATGTGTCCAATAATTTATTACCACCCTGTACAAAGCATATTATTGTAGGTGCCTCGGGAATAGCATATATTTCAACCAAACCCTTCATATAATCATAAATCAACATACAGCAATACAAAAATGAATTCTAATTTAACTTTTTCATTAGTTTACCTCTGAACTAGTACAAAACAAAAGTAGTCACAAGTTCAAAATAAACTTCGAGCCTAACACAAATCGCACTCACCAACCTTGAAGACTAATGCTAACATTTAGAAACAGCACACAATTATCACACTTTCATTATTGCTAGTCACACACTTGTGACGCACATTATCTATATTCAACGACCACGGCCACTTTGATTGCGGTTTGCAAATCACCCGCCATTTCTAAAATCAACACTCTCCCATCAAACGGGTTGAATGGAAATCACCCGTTTTGCACACTTGAGTGATTGTGCAGAACTTCACCTTGGTCTGCTCATGAATCATTGACAACTTCATTGACGTTGGAATACTTCAATGTTTGTGGTGTTGCTTGAGTTGTGTAGATGATTCAGTGGAACCTCGATAATAAGTCAAATTAAGTGTCATTTTAAAATCCCCTTGAATTCATTTCACAATTAATCACATACTTTTGTAAACCTCGATAAGAAGTCAATTGATAAGTCTTATATTTCCAATGAGTCTTGTTTCGAGGTTCTACTGTACACTATTTTTGAATTTATAATGAATCATTATTTAAAATGTAATGATTTTTTGTTTTAAATTAGCTTTGTAGCTGAGTGCTTTATATCATAATATCAGCTGGTTCTTTACTGAAACATGTCAGACATTTTTTGATTGTTTACTACAGTTGGGAAAAAGTTCAGACATTCGAGTTTTAGCTCTACAGAAAAGTGACCGAACTAGTTAGAAAAACATGGAAAATATCTACGTATTCCTTTAAAAACAAAATTCTTTAGCTTGTTAATACATTTTGCTATGGCAGTCTGAAGGTAAATAAACGGTATCAGCATAAGAATGCTGATACCGTTTATTTACCTTCATACACATACTTTCTTCCATTAGATCGTCAACAACCTTTATCATGAGTAAGCGGTGAGAGTAAATATGGTATTTTATAGTTAAAAATTACAAAAGTTGCAATAACTTTTGAACTGGAATTGTTACAGCAATGGGGTGTTGTACTATTTTTTTTAGAATTATAAGGACCATGACATATTAGTTTTGATCACAACCAGCTCTTCTGCAAAAATCCGATTTTTTTGTTATTTTATAGGAAAATAACATAAGTTACAACAACTTTAGAACCGCAATTTTTACGGAAATTGGATTTTTTCACTATAACATATTACATTTTTTAGAAATCCGTTTGGACCATTTTCGAGAAAATACGATTTTTTCGTTATTTTATGGGGGTTTTTTTTATGGGAAAATAACATAATTTACAATACTTTTTGAACCGTAATCTTTACAGAAATGGGAGTCACACCATTTTGTTCAGAATTTAAAGTGCTACAACATACTATATACTATACGTTAGGGACCCAAAACAGATTGGCCTATATTCACTCAAAACCTAAACTCGAAAATGTTGACGAAAACAATACTATGGTATAGGAGGAGAAAGTAAAAATCCCTGTTTTTAGAGTATCATAAACAATTTTATGACTTTAATTAGGTATACCCCGCTGTCCTTGATCATTGAGTTTTAAATAAATGGTCTTGGTTATAAATCAGCTAATCAGTAACAAAGCTACACAAGGCATTTTAACTCCATTCAAAACTCATTCTCCTCCCATATTCGTGTGGGATTTTCTTCGGATGGACTACTTAAGTTAAAGTATGCATTTTCATAAAGGTATCTCTAGCCACCCTTTGTCTGCAGGTATACCTGAGCTAAAGGTTCCCTCTCTAGAACCCCTGGTGATCAAGGAGTTAGTCGCCGCAGAGGGAAGTGGACTCAAGATCACCACAGAAAACCTTAAGGTGCACGGGTGTGCCAACTTCACCTTGGTCAAGTTAAAGTGAGTTTCATGAGAATTAGAAAGTATAAGAAACTATCTTGCTGTCTTGAAAAATTACAACTTTTTGTCTAGAGAGAGGATTAGTGTTTCTTTTTTTTTCTTAAATATATCTAGTTTCTTATACTGAGAATTATCAATTTGCTCTCTTTGAGAAGTTACTCATTGTAATGAGAAGTAAAATATTTATATTTTGAGAAGGCAACAGGTTGTTTTAACTCTCATCACAAAAGAGATGTTCATAAGGTTATCTAATATATAAAATTCTCGTGTCACAGTGTTTGTCTGCAAACTCCTCCGGAACGACTTCACCGATCGTTATGAAATTTGGTGTGTAAATTCTGTAGGTATGCGAATCGGACGTAAACTATTTCCCGTTTCGAAATTCTTAAAAGGGCTCCGCCCCAGTGGCTCTGGAGTTTCCCATGTTAACCTTATGAGAAATGGAATTAATGAATCTTAACAGCTGTTTCAATTAAACAAGTTGGTTCTGTTCTATGATGTTCAATAGCATTAAAGTTACAAGGATTACCAACAGGGTGCAGCACTATTATTTCTTTTACATTTATGACAACAGCTAATTTGCAACCAAAAGGTGAGTGAGCGTAGCGAACGAACTTCAACCTGGAGGCGAGTTAGCGTAGCGAACGAGCTAACCTGAAGGCAAGTGAGCGCAGCGAACGAGCTCCAACCCAAAGGTGAGTGAGCGTAGCGAACGAACTTCAACCAGGACGTGATTGAGCGATGCGAACGAGATCATCTTGAAAATTAAACGTAACGGTACTTTCTTTCCATCGGTCTGTCTTAGGGGAAACCTATAACTTAGGCGATACGAAGTTCGCCGGGTCAGCTAGTTCTTTTATAGAATTTCACAAGTTCAAGTACCGGTATTCTAAAAATCACAATACAATATAAACCATTTAATTATGATTTTTTAATGCAATTATTTCCATATTATTCAAACAAGTACATGTTAAATGTGTACATTTCGTGTGTCATTTTACAGGAAATGAAATTTGAGTCACACCGAGTTTTTTAAACAGAAACTCTTCACTTTAAGAATGGAAAATCAGAGAAACATTAGTATCCTTACATAGTTTTAAAGATTACAAGACAAATAAGTTTTCAATAATGTTTGACACTCTGCAGTCCAGTTGAACATCAAAAGACTTTCCTATAACGTATTGAACTTTTCTCAAAAGTCACAAATACAAACTTCGATTGCTGAATAAAGGCTTAGGCGTATAAAGATGTTTTATCCCATCAATAATAAGACAATGTTTAGTGCACTTTACAGCCATTTTATCTAAGCCTGTTATTCCTTAACTGAGGGTATGGAAACCTAAATTGTTGCCATTTTGTGATTACTTTTCCAAAACAATAAACTCGTTCTGTCCTGTCTAACATGATGCACCTTTTGTTTAAGAAGTTTGACTTCATATTGAACTCCAGTATGCTTGTCAACTCAAATATGCAATGGTTTGCTGCATGACAAATCTTCGTCAATAATGCAATAACAAGAAAAATCTTACACGATGTCTATAGCTCTATGGTTAAGATTGGATATATCAGTTATAGTCAATATCACAACTGATATATTTTGTTTTACAGTGTGAACCTGAAGACCCATCAATATCAGTTTAACATCAAACTCCCTCACCTAGTGTTGGACGGAAGATACGTCATCGATGGCAGAGTTCTTCTCATCCCCATCAGAGGAAAGGGGAGACTTACAGGAGACATATGTAAGCACAATTTGTGAAAGCTCGAAAAATAACACATTATATTTTATAAAACCCCATTTTATTCAATAGTTTTGCATTGTGATATAATAATATTAAATGATATGCAGTTTTTACAAGTAACCAAACAAACTAGTTTACTGAATATTTTACTTCAATCTTTTGTCTTAGAAGTGTAGTTGTTGTGTATAAAATAATTTAACTTTTTGTTTTGCGACCCAATTTATTCTGTTTACAATCCAATTTACCATTTTGGAAGGGGGTAAATAAGTTTTTTAGAAGTAAGCAAAGTTTCTGAAATGTGGGTCGGGTCAGTGCTCTCATCAAAGCGGAAATAGTTTAGTTTCTTGGACATGTCAACAATACAAGTTTATCGTTTGGAAATTGTAATTTTATTTTTTTCTTATATTCAGCTGGTGAAATAACCAGCTCATCGATGCCGCCCTTAATAAATCTAACTTTAAAGTACCTTTTGGTTTTTTCCAAGATTCATTATATTAAATTACCATAAACGAGTACAGACGTTGAACCCGGAAAATTGCGCAGTTTAAAAGTGTATAATACCTTTTTCTTAGGTAAAATGATCCTGTGCAATACCCACTTAGGCTACATTTTAAGACTATTTTTGTTTTTAACGATAAAGTGAATAGAATTACTATTTTACAATAAATTTGTTGATTTTAGATCTACACTATACATAGTGATTTACCTACCCCAATTAAGCCACAATTATTGTCAAAAATGTAACCTACATAATGTACATTTGTAACATCTGTTTACTCCCTTGTTAACAGTCTGACTATGGTTAAAAAATTAACTGAAGAAACAGGTGTTAATAACAATTCTCATTTAAACCATTGTAAATACTGTTGGCCAGCGAAACTAGGTCTTTGAAAATGGACTTGGAAATAAATTAAACGTGAGAGGGCGAAGCCCTAAAGTAAATTACCTTTTGCGCGCTAGAACATGAGCTTTATAATGACACCTCAATCGTAAAAATCTGTTAAATAGGATGGCTGAAAAAGGAATGTTCATGGAAGGGATGTTGATTGTATGAAGTTTAAGATTATTCCTAATAATTATTCATGTATGTAGATCAGGCACTTAGTTTATATTCTTTTACTTTGTACTGACTTCGAGGTAGCTGCTGCTACCAGACGGAGGATAGTGAAAGTAGTTGCAGTTGGTTCCAGTCTTGTCCGCTAGACCTCGCGATGTATTCCATTTACTTTTAAGACACCGCCTTTACTTTAGTGTAGAACATACGAGGATATCCGCCATCAATTTCACCTTTGTTAAAATAAATGTGTAAAGCATGAATAACTTTTTTAACTACAATATTTTAAAATTATAGATTAAATTCATATTTCAACCAATAGATCAAATAAAATATGACTAAACCAGAATTTTAAATTTCGTTACAATAATAATGTTAACATAACGTGCGTGAGATTTACATACACACTCTGGATAAAGAGTTTTTTTTTTTGTTACGTGGATGTCTTCATGTTGCGTTTGTAGTTGTGTTGGTAGTAATCTGTAAAGTAATTACTTTAGTAGTTGGAAAACTATTTTGGAAGTGTATTAGAACTGTTTAGACATAAGCTGTACAACACTTTTTAAATTATGTGTAGTACATCCATTACTTTGTCTTTGAGATAATAAAGCAGTTTCACCAAGACATCCTATCTATATGAACCAGTTATGAACATGTTTTTTATTAAAATAGAACATAGTTCTGTGAGCCAGCCACAGAGTGCACTAGTGTCCAAAATTTCATATCCTACCATTCTTTTACTACTGAGATAGTTTGGGGCATAAAGATAAAAGATGGTATAACTTACAATTAGTTGTCCCCATGAGCTCAACTTGGTTAAAAAGCAAGTGATTCGACAGAAATAAATAATTTGTTCAGCGCAATCTGTCAGTGGCTCACTAACTACGTCCATTTTGACAGTTCGTTTCGACATTACCATAAACTAACCAACACAAATATACTTCTCATCCCATCGTAAATTTTGAAGCTCGTTTTCCGTGTCTAGTTCATGTCCAGTGACACTGGTGGATGGTGTCGACAAAATTTAGTTCCTATTATTTTAGGACTAATTTCATGGTTTGTGCTTTTCTGTTTGGTCATATAACTAGAGGATGAGTTATTGTTTGTGATTTTATCGTTTTATTTGGCTAAACGAGGTTTTAAATGACTGAAATAACAAGCAACAAATTGTAAACAAAACACGACATCTGCAGTACACCGGACAGAACTAACGATAAAATTGGCTTCAGCTGTTCCATAAGGATGGGAAAACTATAAGGGAGTAGGTTTTATCTATGACATTACTTAGGTTATGCTGGAATATTATAATTTACCAGCTATACACACTTAAAAACTGATATGTTATGAAATTATTTTTATGTCAGAATACATTCCTTTATCCCGTTTCAGTCAACGCCAAAGCCAATGTAACACTTGGCGGGTTGATCGTCAAAAGAAAAGGAGAAGAATATCTTCACTACAACAAGATGACGATCAAGATTAAAGTTGTTCAGGGACAGCTTCATCTTGCCAATCTGTTTGGAGGAGAAGCTGTGCTGGGTAAGTATCTCGTTTAGATTGTTAATTATACAATTATTTGGGGCTTTTAACAATGAATGTGATTAACGGGCATTTTTTAGAATGTATTTAGATTTCTGGGTGGCTGAGTGATATAGTTTTTGTCTAAAACATCGTCTACACCGGCAGATTCGTATGTGAAAACAGTGACTGCAGGCCCCACATATTTCTCGTTTGTGTCTGGGATGTCTGTTGACTTTTTTAAAAAGATGTTAAGACAAATTTAAAATTGGAGTTAGATGGTTACAGTTTGCATACAATTTTAGAACAGTTTTCATTCATTTGACAAATTACAGATATCGTTTTTCTAGTGACAAAAGTACAAAGTTTTCTGTTTACAACGAAATTGAAATATACAAAAAAATATTTCGTCTCTAGTTTTCTCGTCCATACGTTGTTTTAAACTGAAACTGGCAACCAATTGTCTTTCTAAAGTCTGTATTTTGGATCCTTTCACCTGACCAATTAATGTCCCAATTTATATATTCCCGATTATATATATTAAAAGTCTAACTGGGGCTGTCTCGGGCCTTAAAACATGGGTAGTAATATAATTCCACCATGAATATAAATGGTCCAGGCTAAAAAAACAGCTGAGCGTTATCAGTAACAAAACCACAACAAGTATTTCCTTTCATTTTATACTCCTTACTAAGGATATTATGGTTGCCAAAAAGGTAATAATTGATTATGTAGCTAGGATCAATATACTGATCAATATATAGTATACTGATTAAATCAATAACACCAATCAGGCTTGTGCATTATCAAACTGGGAAACATATTTAAATATTTTTCGTACAGTAAAGTATTCCTTTTCATTATTTAGGGAACACAGCTGATTATTTTGATTTTCCAGTTAAGCTAAAATATTTGACTAATTGACCAATACCTCTGTTTATCGTGACTACTTTCCTTTAACAGTCATTTATCTAGCTATCGATTACTAATTCTATGTTTCCCTCCACTATTTCTATGTTTCTCTTCACAATTTCTATGTTTCTCCTCACTATTTCTACGGTTCTCCCCACTATTTCTATGTTTCTCTTCACAATTTCTATGTTTCTCTTCACAATTTCTATGTTTCTCCTCACTATTTCTATGTTTCTCCTCACTATTTCGATGTTTCTCCCCACAATTTCTATGTTTCTTCTCACAATTTCTATGTTTCTTCTCACTATTTATATGTTTCTCCTCACTATTTTTTTGTTTATCCGTACTTTTTATACGTTAACCTACAATTTGTCTATGTTTCCTCGATCTACTTTTATGTTTCCCTCCACTATTTCGACTTTTCCCCTAATTTCTCTGTTTCCCACTTTATTAATATGTTTTATTCTATGTTTCCCCCGCCATGTTGCAGGTGAGGTGATCAACAGCGCGATCAACGCCAACTTTGAGCAGTTCATAAACGAGTTGAGACCCATCATAGAGAAGGCGTTGGCCAAGTTCATGCTGGAGAGTGCTGACGGCATCGCATCCTCCTTCCCCTACAAGGATCTGTTCCCTTTGTAACCGCAGGACGAAGGATTCAGTCAGTTGTCAGGAAAACATATCAGCTGGGAAGGTTATCAGTTGGATGATTCATCAGAAGAAAAAAACAGCTGACAGTGTCATTTGACCAATTTCGGCCAAGGACGATATAAAGTCAGTTGATCGAGTCATCAAGTGCTTCATCGTGTAGGTCTAATTACGCTTTCAGTGTCCAAATAAAGTTGAAGAGGTTATCAATTCATAAAACTAAAAGCTGATGGTACAGTCAATTGATGAAAACTTAGGTTGATCACTTAACCAATCAATTCAGCTTAAAAAGAACCAAGAAATGAACCTTTTTAATAATGTTTTTCAATAATGCCACCATCAACTGACATAGTTATTTGCTGATTAATTCATTTGGTGAATCGATCATCTGATGTATATTTAAGTTTAAGTAGCTATTGACTTATGATACTATCAGCTGATAAAGTTTAAAACTGATGATTTTTAACTGACGATTTGAGTTGACATATTTATCAACGCGAGTGTGTGTAAGTGAATGTATGAGTGTGAAGATATTCGCTAGCTAATAGTGTATATATATGTGCCATAAGGACTGATGGGCACCAACTATTTAAGACTCTGTGTTATTAATGTTAAATTGTATAGGGTAACTCATTATATTTCCTAGGTAAGAATAAATTATGTAGAAATGTCATGTTGTTTTTATTTCCCTGCGTGATTAAAACCAGGTGTTAAGTTGTAAAATTTGCTAGAATAGCTCACGAAAATTTTAGTAAAAAAATAGCAAAAAAAAATTAGTTTAGTAGTAAAAATTTAGTAGTACCGTATATGTTATGAAATATTTCTGTGAGTGTATGAAGGAGAAAGAGACAGAGAGATCTTTTAGTATACATTTTTTCAATATACTTCGTTATATAAATATAGAGGACCATGGAACTTTGTTCACTTGCCAATTGATTACTACCATTGATTATAGACAGAATAGACTTCCCATTTAATGTATACATTTTGAAGCAAATCAGTTTGCATAGTTTACCAACTAATGTAAATATTCTCATATTGTGTCAAGTGATAAATCAATCAGCTGTTAATGCTACGATCAAATTAATATTCAACCCAATACACTATCACCTTTTTTTAGTGAGATGGTCCTGATCGTATTCTAATTTCTTGGCTTCAAATTATTACATTACATTGGAAATCTATTCTCATTCTGTGTTAATTCTACGATCAATTCTTTTTCTAGTATTTAGGTCCAATCATCTGGAATGTTTTTTTACATCCTAAAGTCCTTGAGATTTGATTATCTAATCAATATTTCCTACTGTAATCAGCTGATTCTAAATTGTTCAATCTATCTATGCCACACTTGAAATACCTCAAACTCTGGGAAAGCATTTGCAATTCTAATAGCTCCAACAGAAACTGACTGGTCTTATTACTTCTGTCTATTTGCGTTGAGTTATTTATTCTCCCTGTGATATAGAGTAAAGCATAGCTTACAATATTTTCTTCAGGTTTAGTCATAGTTTATGAATCGTTGTTCTTCGCATTTAAAAAATGTGGGTACAAAATCAAAAAACTACCTTACAACTTCTGTTCTTCGGTAAGTTACTAGGAAGAACTAAGTTAAGTAACTAGGATCTCGTTTGGCTAAAGGTAAATAATTAAGTGGAAGATGAATCAATAACCTAACTTTGAAACCTCTAGTTGGAAACTGCATGGTGTCAATGCACTTAATTCGTAACACATGGGGGGAGCATGCTGGTCAAGTGGTTAGAGTGTGATGCTTTCGTCCCTGAGGTTCTGGGTTCGAATCCTGCCAATCAGAATTGGGATTTATCCATATGACGCCGCAAACTCTAGGACTAGCCTGAAGTAATGTTAAAAACGATCCCTGGTAAAAGCCTAGGGTCCTAGAATGTGGAGGCGAGGCCTACCCTGTCAAAGCCTTTGACCTAATCACATCAACTAAGAAAATTTTGATTAAAAACTGGTGACAACTTTAACATGGGGTAGAATGTATAGTCACATTAGTCAAAGACACTAGGTTCTAACTGTTCCAGTGTTTATAATAGTTTATTTCCAAGCGTAATATTTTAGAATAAACGCTACTAGGCCTACAAGTTATCATAGTGAACTAACGTTCTCAAGCTCTACACTTTCAACACTAAACCGACTTTTGTATCGGACATTGACTTATCAAATAACAATGAAGTTTTCCACCGCACGTCGCTATCCGCCATTAGTGGCAACATATGACGCGCCAATAACGACAATTAATGACACAACAAATCATGTTTCCCGCCAATTATTGTCACTATCGGCTCCACCAATCACGTGCCGTCGTCGATCTGTCAAAACTTGTGATAACTTTGGTTCTGATTTATATACATAATATACATTGTGTTGCTAGTTTATTTTTTTCCAAATGACGTGGAGGGGCTCAATGAAAAATCTGTCATTTTTATTTACGATCGAGTTGAAATTCCTTTACACCGTGAAGTGGAGTATTTGTAATCAAAGTTAAAACAAGTGCCAGTTCTGCCGCGACAGCTCTATCAAAGTCTGATAATAGAAACTGTCTCTCACAGCTCTCACCTTCATGTGTTCATTCTTACGTTTTGATAGGTTTGTCAATCATATGTTGCACAGTTTATAGTGTTTAACAACTCAGAAAGCTCTGAAAACTAGTTTTGTTGAATCTTCCCTCAAGGGATGTGAAAGTTAATAAAATTGCTAGTAAAGATGATTTTGCACTCCTCGCGATGTACAGTACCTTATACCGGATATGTTGTATAATTTTTATTTTTATAATTAATCTTTCGAATAATGTAATTTGATTCCTCATGAGTAAAAAACAGTATTTTGATTTGTAATTTCGTAGGAAATGGTTATTTGGGTAACTAGTGCGCATAGTCGTACTTTGCTGTACTGGAGAGAAATGTTTGATCGAGTGCAGAAATGATACTTTTCGCTCGTGTTATACATTATATTTTTCCTACAGTTACTATAAAGCATAAATATTGGGTAATTTAATGTATGTACAGGTCAACTTATACTGTGTAGTTTGACAAATTATCAAATTACCCCTAGATGAAATTGTCTCACAAACAAATCAAAACCTAAATGAAATTGTTTCATGAACTAACAAATCAAAACCTGAATGCAATTTCACAAATATAATGAACCAAAATCTGAATATAACTGTTGTCATGCAACAGCAGGTCTGTAGGCTATGTTAAGTCGTTATATCAATGGTCAAACGGAATGACAATAATCACTGCACCAGCTGATCGAATAAGTGTTGCCAACTTGTTTTCAAGCATACCCGTATTACGTATCTAATAAAAGTATATTTTGTGTTTGGTTGGAATATTGGAGCGCGGTAAAGTAAAGTGAGTGCTGCAAAGTAAAATGAGTGCGGCAAAGCAACATGAGTGCGGCAAAGTAAAATGAGTGTGACAAAGTAAGTAAAAACATAAATCAGCTACTTTGAGAGTTATAATCAGTGCAAGGAGGCCTGTTTTGTCTGTAAACTGTAGGTAAAATAAATATTTTATCTTGTTACTCTAATTGAGGCTTTAAGATTCTTACTGAAAATTGAATAAATATGTGAATCCAACCGTCTCTACAAATTTTAACCATTTTATTACTAGGATTCACGTTTGGTAAAAGGTAAATAATTAAGTGGTGAAACTTTTCCAGTTATCAGCCGCAACTGAGTACAAACAGCTCGGTTCTTCAGTTTCCGGAGATGGACTCAAAACTGTGGAAATATTTAAGGGTCAAACTTGCCAAGAGACAAGTAGTATTTACTGTAGAATGTTCCGTTCACAGTTTGGTACAGTAATGAATTCAAGACTCGTTATTTAGTGAAAATAAACGAAGCGTTTCGTTATTTTTTGCTTAAATTCTCCTGCAAAACGTCCTTATCAAAAACATAATATTTATACTTGTATTTTTTACCTATCAAATGAACACACAACTGATACACGGTAAAACTAACTAAGCGGTAAGGACTTATAAATATCTACTTGAAATATTAATTTAAGAAAATGTGTTTTCTACACCGATGGAACTTTTTACGTTATGAAAGGGAATGGTCGAAACCCTGGTTATGTTACTATCTAACGTTTATCTTTTTGTTAGATAGCATCATTAATTCTTAGCCCAATGACATATGAGTCTAGAAACGACATCGCCTGGAATCGAACCGGTGACCTTCAGATTTGAAGGCGAGCACTATAACCATTCTGTTACCCAATTGTCTTCTGTGTTAATTTATGACATTTTTATTTATGACAAAACGTAGGCTAGTAAAGTATCTGCTCCAAGCGTTATATTGAAGGAGTTTCTTGGTATTTATTCCCAGCATACCTGTATTGCATTGCATAGTTTAATGGCATCCTCTCGCTTAGTACGAGGAGCCTAACCTAACTGAAGTCTTTACTGTACATTGTTGTGAGCTGAAGCAGTTTTGAACAATGCAGAGTTCAGTTGAAGATTCTAGGCAACGGCTTTCAAAATATGCCGATGCCAATCTAAGTGATTTCTATAGCATGTTTGTTGGTATCTAATTACAAAATGTATTGTTTTAACTTTTTTATGAAATAATCTCAATGGATTATAAAGTAGAAAAACGAGTGAAAGTAAAAGTAAGTTTGCATTAGACACATATCTTTTGGGTATACTTATCTAATCCAGTCTGAACGAATACTTAAAATCAAGGCCACGTAATGTTAAAACAAAATTAAATTAAAATAATTTGCATTAATATTTAATACTTTTCATTTAAATGGCGACCATACAAAGTAGGTATTTTAAGCCGAGTAAGAATGGAGATGAGTGTAGGATGAGTGGCGCGATCTTGTAGTCTTGTTAGTGACTAAGGCCGAAATATTCCTTAGACATAGCTGTTAATTAATAACCCATACAGCTAATGAACTAAGGGACCTACAGTTCATAGTTGAATCCGAACCACATTTTTGCCTTGGTATTAACGAATTGGTCTAATTATCAGGATAGGCCTAGTACTGCAATTATGTAATCATAATATACTTTATTCCAAACCGAAGTGCACAGAGCAACATACTACACCCCTTGTGGTCCGATTTCGATGAAATGTTTTTTAGCTTAATCCAAAGTCTTAAAAGGCCATCTTCCCATAAAAACCTATAAAATGACGGAAAAATCTCAAAATTGTTTCGAACGATTTTCATTGAAATTTAGTATGTTATGGTACAAAATGGTACAACCACCAATGCTATAAAACTACTGTTCAAGAGTTATTGCAAATTTTATAATTTCCCCCATAAATATCATAGTTACTCCCACCGCTTGCACATGATAAAGTTTTTTGACAAGCTTATGTAAGAAATTATATGTCAGATTGGTATTATTAATAATTTCCAAAGTAAATTCCAGATATCACACACGGAAAAGATAACCCTACAAATCGTACAATAGTGGACTTTAACTTAGAACGAGTTTACAAAAAGCCTGTGTTCATTCCTTGCCTTAACTAAAAGTTGGATATTATCGTGAATTGTAATTTCTTGAGGCGGTGCTTTACAATTAACTGAAGTGGAATGTAAAAAACGTCCAATTAAGCTTCAAACTTTCTTATCTTTAACATCTCAAAAGTGGATCGTAAACGTAAAACACTAGAATAGAAACAAAACGACCCAGC